ACAGTTTATATTAAAGTACATTTTGTCAACTTGTTTAGTTTTAAGTTATTTTTAGTTAAGTGTAAATAAAAACTTAGTTCATTAAAAATTTGGTTGATTTAAATTTATTAAAGAGGCCTGCTTCTATTTTTAGAAACACCTATATACACACTATTTTTCATCACCACAACAAGATCTTTTAATTTATTATTTAAAAATATTTTAACATACAAATTTATCAAATTTGAATTTGTCTACCTGTATAACATCAATTATCTAATAATCTGTTAAATATAGTAATAACTCAGTTTACTCATTTATTTATTCAGTTATTGATTGATTGATCAATTAATTAATTGATCAATTAATTAATTAATTAATTAATCAAAGGCTAATTGCTTATTTATTTATTCAATGAATCAATCAATAACTTAAGCATCAATCAAATGATACATTGCGATTAAACCTTGTTGCAATATAGTGTCCGATTAAACAATTCAGTTGTGTAAACGCTTTTATGAGCGCCCACTGGAAACAGCATAACTATAAAAATGTGGGTGGGGACAACAAAATGCCTAAAAACGCTTTTTTAAAATCACATTTTCCTTAATCATAAACCCTGCCAGACCTAAATAAAATTGTAATTCTTACCTGCTTGGTGTTCAAAGTTGCGTTGTTTAAGTAAAAATGCTATAGAACGTGCTTGATGTACAATTTTATAGTTCGCGCGTTGCAAACTACCTACTAATAGCTGGAAACTTTATATTCACGAGGTTAAAGAGGAGAAACAGACACCGTCCGAGTAGACACAACAACTGATTAGACCCGAGCCCGCTCTATACACAATATAATTACAATCAAATGCAAAAACAATTAAGTAGGAAGCTAGAAGCTTTTTTAGAAACTCTCTCCTTAATTAGATCAGTTGTATAAACATAATTTTGTTATTAGACAATGGAACAATTAACTATGATACAGACAAACTAAGAACTCAAAAGATTTAAGTTCATTCATGTCTTCCACAATGGAATAATTAAATGGCCATGGCCCTTCAGAATGTTGCTTGGGTTCTCAACCTGTACAGGACTTTTGTATAGCTTGCAATACTTTGATGATTGCTTGTTATAAATGGTATCTATGCTAGACTTAAGATTATTGTTCTTTGTCATTTAACTCTAGACTTTAGATAATTGTTCTTTGTCATTAATCTAGACTTTAGATAATTGTTCTTTGTCATTACTCTAGACTTTAGATAATTGTTATTTGTCATAACTCTAAACTTTAGATAATTTGTTCTTTGTCATTACTTTAGACTTGACATAATTGTTCTTTGTCATTACTCTAGACTTTCGATAATTGTTATTTGTCATTACTCTAAACTTTAGATAATTTGTTCTTTGTCATTACTCTAGACTTTACATAATTGTTCTTTGTCATTACTCATATCATGCATGACAAGGTTCATAACTCTAGCATCTTAATATTTGAGGAGTTATTTCCTCTTTGAACTGATAATCTTACTTTGAAAGACTTAAAATTCTTTTTGCTAATATCATTTTACCTACATCTCAGATTCAAAATTCTTTTTTTTTTTTTATTAGAGCATAGAAATGTCTGTTTAACTTTCATGATAATTTTGTGATGCAAATATGAGCCGTGTCACGACAAAACCAACATAATGGGTTTGCTACCAGCATGGATCCAGACCAGCCCTTTTTTTTTGTCAGGGCATTTTTTTCCTTCTATATCACCGGCGGATGTTCAGCCCCTTCTTATTTCAAAAATTGCACCTTTTTCACAAAGCAGCGGAAAGAAAATCACAATTTCAAAAGAGATTTCACAAAATATCAGAACTTTGTCTTTGAAATTCATTGTTTACTTCGGGTAAAACTTGATATTCACCAATCGTGTTAAATGGTATTTGCACATGTTGACCAATAAAGTTTAATCGACTACAAGTAGATTTTACACAGGCCAGAAATAATCAAGCTTTCATCGCATTCACCATTTCCGGTTTCAAAATGTCACAAAAGGCAAATATTATGTCATTTTTTTCACAATTTTTTGACATAACGCTTTTATGCCCCCCGCCATATAATGGCTGGTGCATATAGTGTTACCCTGTTTCTTCATTCCGTCCTTCGGTCATTCCGTCATTCTGTCATCCCGTCATCATCAGTTTCTGTTCATTATCTTAGTAACGGTTGCACGTATTCAACTCAAATTCGAATTTGGTCATGGTTCGATGATTTTTGACAGAGTTATGCCCGTTTTACTTTGAAAATAATACGAAATTTTCAGTTTCCGTTCATTATCAACCCAACGGTATTACACATTCAACTCAAACTCGATATATGCATATGTCAAAGGAATGCACAGGTCAATTTAAATTTGGGAATTAGTTCAATGATTTTTGGCAGAGTTATGCCCCTTTCACATTGAAAATAATATGAAATTTTCAGTTTCAGTTCATTAACTCCCAAAAGGTATTACACATTCAACTCAAACTTGACATATGCATACTTTAAAGAATTGAACAGGTCAAGTTTGAATTTGGTCACGATTCAATGATTTTTGGCAGAGTTATGCCCCTTTCACTTTGAAAATAATATGAAATTTTCAGTTTCCGTTCATTATCTCCCCAACGGTATTACACATCCAACTCAAACTTGATATATGCATACGTCAAAGGAATGCGCAGGTCAAGTTTGAATTTGGTCATGGTTCAATGATTTTGGCAGAGTTATGCCCCTTTCACTTTGAAAATAATATGAAATTTTCAGTTTCTGTTCATTATCTCCCCAAAGGTATCATACATCCAACTCAAACTTGACATATGCATACGTCAAAAAAATGCACAGGTCAAGTTTGAATTTGATCATGGTTCAATGATTTTTGGTAGAGTTATGCCCCTTTCACTTTGAAAATTATATGAAATTTTCAGTTTCCGTTCATTATCTCCTCAACGGTATTACACATTTAAGTCAAACTTATCATATAGATAAGTCAAAGGAATGCACAGGTCAAGTTTGAATTTCGTCATGGTTCAATGATTTTAGCACATTTATGCCCCTTTCACTTTGAAAATAATATGAAATTTTCAGTTTCTTTTCATTATCTCCTCTAGGGTATTACACTTTCCATTCATATTTGACATATGGATACGTCAAAGAAATGGTCAGGTAAAATGCGAATTTTGTTGTGGTTAAATGATTTTTGGCAGCATTATGCCCCTGTAACTTTGGAAAAAAGGAAGTTTTCAGTTCCCATTCATTATCTTCCCAATAGTTGTACATATTCAACTCAAATTAAAGATATGTATGTCATAAGAATGCATTGGTCAATTTCGAATTTGGTCATGGTTTGATGATAGCTGACAGAGTTATCACTCTTGAACTTCAAAAAAAAAAAATCAGAAATTTTAAGTTTCCGTTCATTATCTCCCCAATGGTTGTACACATTCAACTCAAATTTGACATATAGATACATCTTAGGAATAAGCAGTTCAAGTTTGAATTTGGCTGTGGTTCAATGATTATGGACAAAGTTATCTCTCTTGAATGTTGGAAAAATTTTGAATTTTCAGTTTCAGTACTCATACTTTTGTGGAAATGTATGTAACTATTATTTTTGCTACAAATATGGAATATGCAATTTACAAAAGGTTAATACTGAACAGAGATCTGCCGAGAATTTGAAAGTACTGGGCCCACTTGATCTGAAAATGATGGGCCATTTTCACCAAAGTATGGGCCTTGGGGAAAATAAGTAAACATTGACCTAAATGACTGTTAAAAAGTTTGTAGATAATTGAATTTCCTTTGTTATGGAACTTAAATCATATTTTATGACAAGTGGTTCACTTATGATTCAGTATTTAACAGAGAAGATAACCAATAATTAAAAAAAATGCCTACACAGTAATTTTCCAACTAATATTAATTGCAGGCAAAACATTTTTTCAAATGGCTGCTCAAATATCTGATTTGCATAATTTATCCACATAATTTTTAATGTCTAATACTGTGCATTATCCATTTAATTGTTCCTACTTTGCACCAAATGTCTCTGTCACAATGTAAATTGACGGATTTTATTACTCCTTCTATGCCTCTGTGTAGAAAGCATACATCAAAGACACTTGCAGACAGACTTTTTGATCATGAAAAAAGTCATGCACAATGTTTCCCTGATTGGTTAATTTACCCTGTCAAATATTCTGATGACGAAATAGACATTTTTTTTACACTTCATTAGCCAAAGCTTGCGTGAACTTGAGTGACCTTAGGGGAAATCAAGTTGTACACCTGTCAGATTATACTGTAACTTACAGCTTTTCTAAAAATAGCAACTACCAATAATCATTTTAAATATTAAGTAGTTGTATAATTTTTTTGTTTGTTTGTTTTATTGGATTAAATTTACGGTAGTAGAAATGAGTGAGTATCTGTGTGGGAAAGGGATTATGAGAAGAAATGCGGTAAGTAAATAAGGTGAACAAAAGTTATAGGGGAATGGATAAACTCAAGAATATGCGTAATTACAGGGGAATGGGTAACGTGTTGCTGTTGGTACCAGTTTTGACTGGATGACTAAATAACCCAGCGGACAGTTTTGTTTTCATATAAGTCTTGCACAGATTTTAGATGCCCCCTTGGCTCTTTGCTGCCGATATTTCTGCGCCATTCTCATCTTTTTAGCGCCAATGGGGCAAAATCACCTCCTCAGCAGATCTCTGACTGAATAGTTTCAGAAATTTGTATAAAAATGGTTTGTGTTATCATTGAATAGTTTTAAGGGCTTTGAACTTGAAATGAAAAAAATAATTTGTGCAAACAAATTTTGAATGAAATATTAACATATGAAATTTTGGCTGCATGCGGGGGCATCCGTGGCATTAGGACACATTTTCTAGTTTACAAAATAAACCGACCCAGGCCCCTTTACAATTTTGATTAAATTGCCCTGTTTTTTAAGTCTACTTGTTTAAGTAACCATTGTTTGTTGTTTTCTTTTGTCAGGGTTTTCAACAGACCATTTTAGACAGTATGAGGACCCTAATGCTGGGAACGTGGTGTACCTTGTCAGTGAGTCGGGCATTCAATACAATTGCCCGGTAGAAAATTATTTCACATCAAAAAATCATCTCATATGTCATACTCCAGAGTAAGTAAACATCCACAAATTATAGTTGTGTACTGTGGAATTAATTTACAGCAAACTCATAGGAACATTATGTGTTTTTTAGCTCGATTTTTTTTTTTGAAAAAAAAAAGTAGAGGTATTGCTATAGTCGTGGCAGCTTTGCCGTTGCCGTCCGCAAACTTGTACCTGGATCATAACTTTTTTATTTCTTGGTGTATTGTCTTAATACTTGGCCACAACAACCCTTGGGACAAGACCTTTCAGTAGACCACACTAACCTTGACCTTCATCTATAAATGACCTTGACCTTCAAGGTTAAAAGTCCAAATTTTGCTTTTTCATGCTGTTATTGGCTGTAACTTTGTTATTTTTGAATGGATTGTCTTCAAACTTGAACATAATAATCTTCAAGGATATCCCTTAAAAATAACCTGACAGACCTTGACCTTCACTTATAAATGACCTTGACTTTGAAGGTCAAATTATTGAAATTTTCATTTTTTTTGCTATTATTGGCTGTAACTTTGTTATTTTTGAATGGATTGTCTTCAAACTTGAACATAATAATCTTCAAGGATAACCCTTATAAATAACCAGACAGACCTTGACCTTCCAGTCTGTGCGAAAGTCCGTCGGTCCTCGGTCCTGGCCGAATAAAAATCATGCGGTTCCAGATAAATTTCCTTTCCGTCAGTCCTCATGTCCGAATAAAATTTCAAAAAGTTAAAAATATTAATGACCTGATTGATAACAAGTACCCCGTGATGCAAAGAATTTATAAAAGAAGATATTGACCAACCTTAACTCTATTTTGTAGACATGTCAAATAAATACCAGTCAACTCTGTCTCAACAACGGTAAATTTTGCCGTAAAATACAAATTTGAAAATTTTGTTTTACGATGCCTGTTGAAATAGCCGATGAGTAACAATCTTAAAATAATGAAAAAATATTTAATTTAATATAATCAAAATCAACAACAGGTAGATTTGTGAATGTTTCTGCAGGAAACAGACAAATTTTCAATTGTCACATATTTTCGCGATGCCGCTTTTTATAATTAAAAAATCGTAACCAAAAGGAAGATATGTTTTGTTAAAATGTGTGTCATAACACTTAAAATGAGGTTTAGGAATTAAAATTACTAAAGATATTGTTTACTTTAGTTGAAATGGAGGTATTTACCTGTATACATGTTTGTCACATACAATGAATATTTTCTAATGGGGGGGGGGAGTGGAGTGAATCTGGAAGAAAATAGCATAATGGTCTGATGATGTAGGGTTTTTGAAATTATATTTCAAATCTTTTCAATCACTTTTATGGTACAGTGTTGGGACATATTACCATTTTCCTGAATAAGCTTTTTCTCTGTTCAAACTCCAACTCCCCAACCCCTTACTCTGCTCGTATACATCATAATTGTCAACTGCATAAGTGCAGCAAAGATGGCTTAACATATTCAAAGTGATCTGGAAGTCCTACATTTTTGTGCTTGGGAGTCCCAGGACTCCTACTTTGAAAATTCTAGTGAGAACCCTGCTTAAGTTATTTCATATGGTCAGCATCTTCTTGTGTTTCTATATGATGGTCACACTAATGATAGTCACACTTATTTAAAGAAAGACGATCATTTTTACATTCAAATGAGTTATTATAAAATAATGCTTGAAATGTCTGGGCCGGAAAAATATCATCCGGGCCGGAAATAAACCTAAGGGTCTCGGTCCTTGTGGCCTGAAAAAAAAAATTGACTTTCGCATAGACTGCCTTCACTCATAAATGACCTTGACTATGAAGGTCAAATTATTGAAATTTTCATTTTTTTTGGCTATTATTGGCTGTAACTTTGTTATTTTTGAATGGATTGTCTTCAAACTTGAACATAATAATCTTCAAGGATAACCCTTATAAATAACCAGACAGACCTTGACCTTCACTCATAAATGACCTTGACTATGAAGGTCAAATTATTGAAATTTTAATTTTTTTGGCTATTATTGGCTGTAACTTTGTTATTTTTGAATGGATTGTCTTCAAACTTGAACATAATAATCTTCAAGGATAACACTTAAAAATAAGCGGACAGACCTTGACCGTCACTCATTAATGACCTTGACATTTTCATTGTTTTTGCTGTAACTTTGCTATTATTGAAGGGATCAACTTCTTAACAGGGTTCGACACTAACTGTTTTAACAAGGGATCCCATAGGAATCCCTGAGATTTACTTCAGGGATTCCTCCTAAATGTCAGGGATTCCTCAGATCAAAATAGTAAAATATGAAGGCGAAAAATAACAAGGGCGTGCAGCAATCCGATTTCAAGTTCTTTTTTTAAAGACCACATACATGATATATTGCCTTGTTTTAGATGCAGAAAATCTAGTTTATGAGCCCTTTGGTTTTTTGTTTGCTTGAATTTTTTCGGCACGTCAACACATAACTGGCCATATGAGCCCTTTGGAAATATTGCTGTTTAAAGTTTTAAAAGTGTTTCAAAGTGTTTACTTTACAAGTATATATATAATTGGACTGCTAAGATAAATTAAAACATAATACATTTTTTACATGCACGTAAACAGAATAACATTAAGCTCACCCACTGAACAAGAGTTCGATTTGAAAATAAAACCTGTTTTCTCCCTGGGGTTGATAATTGTGAACCAGTTTCTGTAAATGAAGGTATAATGCAAGTGACTGGGCAATGGGACTTAGGGTTTGAACTTTTGAAGTTAAGTAGGAACTGGGGAAACATTTTCCCAGATAGCCTAGGGTTCACTGAAATAGAGTCAACATATCATCTGTAGATCTTTAAAAACTTACAGGTAATGATTAGGCTCCATATTCCAGTAAGTTCTGGTATGGATAACTTTTGGAAAATATTTAATTTCATGTCATTTAAAAAGAAATGTTTAATTATGATCACTTTAAAAAAATAAGTGATTTTCAGCTTGCTGTACACTTTTTGTGTTTAAAAGGAAATATCCCATAGATTGTTGTAAATTAAATATTTTGTTAATTTTTTACTAAAGCTAAAATATCAAGAAAAAAGTTTTGTTTGCAATTACAAGTAGGGTACCTTCAAATGATTCCGTTTTTAAAAGTAAAAAGTTGCTCCAAGTCCATGACAGGATGTGTTACTAATTAATATCCAAATTTATTGTTCTCAATTTTTACACTGAAATGTCCGATTCTTTTCCTCCCTGTGTGTATAGATTTTTTTTAAGTTGCCACATCAAAGGCACTCACCGCATACAGCAGTCATGTAGTTCAGAACACTGATTGGCCCAAAGAACTGTCAGATGAAATATACGTCATTTGGTGTATGTTTCACCTAAGGATTTTCTATTTCTTTTGTCGGTAAATTATGCGTGACCTTGATTGACCTTAGAACACTTCAGTCTTTAGTTAGACAATATTTTTTTAGGATTTAAGACTGCAGAGTTTCAAAAAGGATTTTAAACTGAAAAGTATGGATTCTTTTTATTCTATTTATTAATTATACTTTTGCTGTACTACAGGGAGAAAAAAAATACATCAGTAATCTTTTTGTTTTTTTTTCACTTTTTTTACAGAAATTTTACAAATGATCAAAATGCCGAATTTTGGCACACACAAAAACAAAACACGTACTTGTAGACTTCATAGCTACCGCCGGCAACGCCAATCTGCACATATTTGAAGTACACACTGCTCGTGTAATAATTATACAATAATTATATTTCTTTCTTCAATTTTCACAACTTAATATTATGAAATCAATGCATGATATAAAATTATTCAAGAATGTTTCTTAAGCCAAAATATTTTTCATTATATATCGCAAATGAGTTGATAGCAGTCACTGCACAAAGGAAATCTGGCGTACATGATTCAAGAGCGTAGATTTTACCGGCGGGGAATTTTCTATTCTTTCTTTAACATTGCAGTCACAATGTGCCAGTCTTTATTAACACTTTTCTTGAATATTTGTGATTCAATGATATTAATTCAGACAATTTCAAAAATTTACACAGCAATTTTTCAGGGATCCTAACGGAATCCCCAGCTAGGAATCACAGAGATTCCTCCTGACTTTTTGGGATCCTCGGAATCCCGGGATCCCGTTAATGTCGAACCCTGCTTAATATAACAGAACATACTTAAGGACAAGACCTTGTCACCACCACATGTCAACACCACGTGACACCACCAGCACGTTACACCACCAGCACATGACTTCACCACGTGACTTCACCACCTGACTCCACCACCTGACACCGCCACCTGACTCCACCACGTGACTCCACCCAAGAATCCACCACGTAACTCCACAACATGACTCAACCACGTGAACACCACCACATGACTCTACCAGGTGACTCCACCACGTGACACCACCACGTGACTCCAACACGTGACTCCACCACGTGACTCCAACACCTGACTCCACCACCTGACTCTACCACGTGACTCCACCACCTGACTCCTCCACGTGACTCCATCACTTGACTCCACAATGTGACACCACAACATGACACCACCACGTTACTCCACAACATCACTCCACTGCGTGACTTCACCACATGACTCCACCACATGACACCACCTTGTGACTCCACCAAGTGACTCCACCATGTGACTCCACCATGTGACTCCACCATGTGACACCAACACGTGACTCCACCACTGACACAACCACATGACACCACCAAGTGACTTCACCACGTGACACCACCACGTTACTCCACAACGTCACTCCACCCACAGACTTTACCACATGACTCCACCACATGGCACCACCACGTGACTCCACCAAGTGACTCTACCACGTGACACCACCATGTGACACCACCACATGACACCACCAGGTGACTCCACCACGTCTCTCCACCGCGTGACTTCACTATGTGACACCACCACATGACACCACCACATGACACCACCAGGTGACTCCTCCATGTGACTCCACCCAAGAATCCGCCACGTGGCTCCACCATGTTACACCACCACGTGACTTCACCACGTGACTCCACCACTTGACTCCACCAGGCACCAGGTGACTCCACCAGGTGACTCCACCACGTGACACATCCACGTTACTCCACCACCTCACTCCATCGCCTCACTCCACCACGTGACTCCACCACGTTACACCACCACGTGACTTCACCACTTGACCTCACCAGGTGACTCCACCACGTGACACATCCATGTTACTCCACCACGTCACTCCATCGCATGACTCCACCACGTGTCTCCACCATGTGACACCACCAAGTGACTCCACTATGTGACACCACAATGTGACACCACCACGTGACTCCACCACATGACTCCACCATGTGACTCCACCAGTTGACTCCACCATGTGACTCCACCCAAGAATCAACCACGTGACTCCACCACGTGACTCCACGTGACTCCACGACGTGACTCCACCACGTGACACCACCACATGACACTACCACGTGACACCACCACACATGTCTCCACCACGTGACACCACCACCTGACTCCACCACGTAACTCCACCACTTGACTTCATCACGTGACTTCATCACGTGACTTCATCACGTGACTCCACCACGTCTCACCTTCACGTGACTCCACCAAGTGACACCACGTGTATTTATTTTTAGAATTTTCTATTCATAGAATTGCGTGTTTCTATTTATAGAATTACATGTTTCTATTTATATATATAATAGTATATTTATATATACAAAATATATAGACAAAACTAATGTGACAAAATAGACCGATTAATTTTATAAAAAGGAAACGTTAAGATTTTGTTCAAACATTCCTTTGTTTGCTTTTAGAGAAAGTAAAAAGTCGAGCGTGCCCCCGCCCGGCGGTGGCTCTTGTTACTAATTTATCCTAGTTTCATATATAATTTAACCAATAAAAGGAATAAATATTTTATAAACAAACAATGAATAGCAAACATCATTATGTAACAAACAACTTATTACATGCACCATGGTTAAAATGATATTTTTGTAATATTTCTTAAATTCAAATAATATTTTTGATAATTTTTCTCGTTCATTATACATATTTTATTACATTACATTAAATATTTCAGAGGCATGAAAGAGGAGGAGATTCATTATATCAGAGTCGTTGTCGACGGAGTTCCTAGCCAAATAAACTGTCGTTTTGGCTCAGATATTTTTTATTATTGCAAGTACCAGGTATATATTATTTTATAATACTGCACGTTTGTAACGTCATTTTTCATTGGATAATCGTGACGTTTATATAGTTTTATATACACAGCTGCTGTGATTCATGAAGAATTCTGACTTTTTTTTCTATAAAAATGATGCTTTCTGTATTATAAATTTGTTATTAAGATTGTTGACAGGTTATATGGCCATTTATAAATGGCTGTTTGCAATATAACCCTCACCTAGAGGCTTGGGTTATATTTACAAATAGCCGTTTGTATATGGCAATATTACCTGTCAACGATCTTTATAACTAATAATATACCGGTATATAATATTTTTTTTGGGTAAAACTTATTCAGTTATCAATGGCAATACTTTTAAAATGCACTCATTGACAGTACCTGATAGCACAAGTTACCAGCACTTTTTCTATATTGAAAAAAAAATAATATAGGAATTTAAGCTGCACGCCCTCAGACGAGCCAAATATTTCAAGGAAATCAATATTGAGAAAAATGTACTTAATTTTAAGAAAGGTAAAACATTCAAGATCCATGTTATATTTTTCATGTTATATAGAGTTTCAGACTGATTTTGCAGTATTTATTACCATATTTCTACTGCGCTTCTAACACAGTAAGGGCTTTCTTTTGCATATGTTGATGACTTTTTAGTAATTTTTATTAGGGATGTCATCTGGAGCCGAAACGGCCATCCGGATATCCGAATCAAA